TCATCATCTGGACCCATGGGAAGGAAACCCTGGAAGAATTCCACCATAATTTCAACAGCTTCCACCCCACCATCAACCTCAGCCTGGACCAGTCTACACAGGAGGTCCACTTCCTAGACACCAAGGTGCAAATAAGTGATGATCACATTAACTCCACCCTTTACCGAAAACCCACCGACCGCTGTGCCTACCTTCATGCCTCCAGCTTCCATCCCGGACACACCACATGATCCATTGTCTTCAGCCAAGTGCTGAGGTACAACCGCATTTGCTCCAACCCCTCAGACAGAGACCAACACCTACAAGATCTTCACCAAGCATTCTCAAAACTACGATACTTGCACAAGGAAATAAGGAAACAGATCAACAAAGCCAGACGTGTACCCAGAAGCCTCCTGCTGCAAGACAAGTCCAAGAAAGAAACCAATAGAATTCCACTGGCCATCACATACAGTCCTCAGATAAAACCTCTCCAACGCATCATCAGTGATCTACAACCAATCCTGGACAATGATCCCTCACTTTCACAGGCCTTGGGAGGCAGGCCAGTTCTCGCCCACAGACAACCCGCCAACCTGAAGCATATATTCTCACCAGCAACTACACACTGCACCATAGTAACTCCAACTCAGGAACCAATCCCTGCAAGAAACCTCGATGCCAGCTCTGCCCACATATCTACACCAGTGACACCATCACAGGACCTAACCAGATCAGCCACAGCATAACTGGTTCATTCACCTGCACGTCCACCAATGTAATATACGCCATCATGTGCCAGGTGCTACAGGACTCATAAGGTGCAATGCCCCTCTATGTACATCGGCCAAACTGGACAGTCCCTATGTGAAAGGATAAATGGACACAAATCAGATATTAGGAATGGCAATATACAAAAACCTGTAGGAGAACACTTCAATCTCCCTGGACGCACAATAGTAAATTTAAAGGTAGCCATCCTGCAGCAAAGAAGCTTCAGGAACAGACTTCAAAGAGAAACTGCTGAGCTTCAGTTCATTTGCAAATTTGACACCATCAGCTCAGGATTAAACACAGACTGTGAATGGCTCGCCAACTCCAAAAGCAGTTTCCCCTCCCTTGGTGTTCACACCTCAGCTGCTAGAAGAGGGCCTCATCCTCCCTGATTGAACTAACCTCGTTATCCCTAGCCTGATTCTTGCTTGCATATTTATACCTGCCTCTGGAAATTTCCACTACATGCATCCGACGAAGTGGGTATTCACCCACGAAAGCTTATGTTCCAATACGTCTGTTAGTCTATAAGGTGCTACAGGACTCTTTGCCACTTTTATGTGCTGAAATGTAAGTAAAATATTTATATTCAAATTGATTTATTTTATAATCATATGGTAAAAATGAGAACGTAAGCAATTTTTCAGTAATAGCATGCTGTGACACTTGTGTATTTTTATGTCTGATTTTGTAAGCAAGTAGTTTTTAAGTGAGGTGAAACTTGGGGGTATGCAAGACAAATCAGACTCCTGAAGGGGTACAGTAGTCAAGAAAGATGGGAGCCATGGAGATACAATATTACCTTTTGTTCACTTCCAACCCTTTTGTCATTTGGAGCGACTCTAGTTTGTTACTAGACCCCTGAACAATGCACACCTCTCCCCACCAAACTTATCTTAAGCAGATAACGGAGACGATTGCAACGAATTTATCAAGATGGTGTCTTTTATGGAGAAATGTTTGAGTTTATAGGGTCTGAATGGTAAAGAAGCATGTGGACGTTACAGCTGAAGTAAGAAACATTGCAGAATTCATCCAAGAATGCATATTTGGAAGCTCTTTTTGCTGCTCCATGTGAGCAGGCAACAAACGTGGTTTGAACCATTGCACTGAAAGATAATGTCATGCTGATGATCAGCCATTGAGGGGCTGTAATCCTGCCTGATGCTACCATTTACTTGGCTCTGAAGACATTTCTTTAATTAAAATGTTTATTGAACTCCAGGAAATACTGACAAGACAACACAGCAAATCTGGCATCTCTACAAGATGTGTGGCACTATATTACAAAGGGAATAGAAAGGCTGGCAACGCAGATGATGGACCACAAAGAAATACATACCAGAAACAATGACAACCGCAAGAGAAAGGAAGAGAGAGAAAGTGACAGAAGTGTCATTATCTTGAATTATGAGAGATTTCTCCAGGAAAAAGTCCAAATATTCTTTTGTCAGGGGAGACTGGATGCTGATTGGTAGATGCATGAGAAGAGTTCCCAAACCTTACAACAGTAATGACTTCAACTCTCTGCTGAGCACTAACTCTTCACTGAAAAGAAAATTGAACATTATGGAGTTGTGTGATACTGGGGTTGTTTGAAGAAATGTCCTGGATCTAAATATGTAGCGTACCTGTAGCAGCAAACAGAGAAGAGCAGCAATAAATTAGTGTGGAAGCAAGCTTCCCACACACTGTCTTATAAGAAAAGTGTTACAGACTTGCATTTGCCTTCCCAGCATCCTAGTCAGCTACAGTCTTGCTTGCTTGCCAAAGAGAATGATCTGAACAATATCTCTTAATGTTGTCTGTGTGCAAAGTCAATGCCTAAGGCAACAGATTGACTTCCCTAGAGACTGAAGATCTCTGCATGGGCCAGGATAGGATTAGCTCCCTTTCCTGTCCTGCCAGCTATTCATATCCTTTCAGTTCTTGGCATGGGTGCTGAGTCTGGGAATAAGGGTGCCTACTGTGGTTTTGTTTATTTGGACACCTGTCCACTTAGATCAATCAAATTCATTTTTCACAGGCCACTGAACAACCATCATCTTTTGGTCGCTGCTTATTTTGGCTGGATTTGAGTTGTCAACATCCAACGCTACAATAGTTAATGATAACATAAATTCTGGATGTGATATTCAACATCATGCTTCATGGCGTAAGCCAAGTTCTGACTACGTGGTGTACGAGGTTTCTTGCGCTGTCCTCTGAAGCATCAGGTGCTGGTCACTATGGAGATGGGATACTGGACTAAATGGACCATGATCTGATTCAGTCTGGCAAATCCTAACTTAATGGGATGCAGAGCCTTTCATCTCTGTCAACCCCCCGAATCATCAGGCCACACCCTGAACAATATTACAGTCAGAAATGGGGACAAAAAAAATAATTAAATGATTGCATTTCAGCTGCACTCTCAAGGAGAGACAAAACTATGAGATTAAATTCAAAGAGCCAAAGTGGTAAATGTTTTGTGCAGCAATATAAACTAGCATCTTGTATTAGTTTATCTGATTCCATCAGCACTCCCTCCCACATCATTCTCTATCTACAAGTCTTTTTGCCCTGAATTTATGGGTTCTAATTATCTTAAGCGACTAAGGCCATAAAAAGCTTTGTAAAAGCTGGAAGGAAAATTGCTGCTTTTATTGGGAATCATAAGACCCTTATCAGTGAGAGAAAGGGAGTGTTCTAGGAAACATGACACCTCTGACAATAGCTGCTGGCCCAAGCTGAAGGAACACACCATAATATGAGCGTGAAAGGCTGATGAGATGAATGTGTTTGAAGTTATAAAACTTTTTTCTCTTCTGTATCAAATCAAGAAAAAGTAGAAGGGAAGGTGAAATCATTGCTTTTGCCACCAGTATCTTGTGACTGAGAGGAATGGTGGCCCAGTGGTTGGGATGCTAACCTGGGAGACCCAGGTTTGATTCCCTGCTCCACCTCAGACTGCCTGTGTGCCCTTGGGCAAGTTACCTTAGCTGCTCTGTGTCTCAGTTTCCAATCCATAGTATGGGAATAATAGCACCGCCCTATCTCACCGGGGTGTTGAGTGGATAAATACATTAAAGACTGAGGTGCGCAGATAGTACAGCAATGGTGGTAATATAAGTACCTTAGACTGGAGAGATGATTTGGTGACAGCATTAGAAGATGGAGGCTTGCAGGCATTTTACAGAGACAATTCCAGCATGTAGGACAGCAGCTAGGTTCTAGAGTAATAAGCCTAAAATCCAGTAGAGATAGCCAGTGTCTCTATTATCAATCCCTTTTTGGCAAGGCTAAGAAAGGGGAATAGGTGGCTTCCTGGTCCATGGATCTATTCTGTTGACTGCAGACCAGGGACCTTATTCTGTGTTTGTCTGAACTGTGCCAGGTGCACCTGTGGAGCTCTATAAATAATAGAGCCGATCTGGAGTCAGAGGTGGGGGGGGATGGTACTGGGGTTAGTCTGGGCCTTCTGTATTCATTTGTGCACAAGTGGAATTGTTTTAAGCAGCTCCCTTTCCATTTTCCTTTGTGACAATGGAAGCCAAACTACTACTAATGACCTGGCATAGATTTCTACTCTGCTTCACTAGTGTATCAGGTCAAACATATTAGGGTTGTTGGATGGTTTAGCAACTAATCAATTGAAGCCTCTGGTTAAACTCTCTGTGTTCACGAGTTGCACCCAGCTGGTAGTACCGTCTATTGGAAAAGTTGAACAAGTCAGTATCAGTAGAGACATAGGAGTTGCTGTACCAGATCAGACCATTGGTCCATCAACCCCTGTATCCAGCTGCCAGCAGTGGACACTATGAAGCTTCCTCTACTAAGTACCTGGTCAACTGTGCATTGCTCTACATTGGGAATAGGGAAGGATTTCCCCTGGCCCTTGAAAGGGTGCTATGAGGCTTTGTAATGAAAGTGCTACAGAAGTGCAAGGTATTAGCACTGGCTCAGAAACTCCCTAGACCTCTAAAAGCAAATCCAGACAGGTTGAAATGGGCCAGTAAGGAAAACTGCATGCATTACTGTCATTTGTTACCTCCGATTTCAATTTAACAGCTGGATCCTGCAAAACTGCTCTTGATCATGTATATTGTCCTATGGGACAAAGTTAATGGGACAACTTCTGTGAGTCAGCGTTTGTCAGGAGGGTGTTTTGACGGTTTTATTCATAAATCAATAGCAGAGTTGTGAAAATGTGCGAAGTTGGCAACACAGATCCATGAACATACCCACATAATATCTTTTTTCTGCAGGGAATGAAGGGTATGGGCTATCTTCGGAGACACAAAGTTTGTGCCACAGGATGCTAATCATCCCTCCTGGAAGAACGTTGCAGCCTGGGATCGAATCATTAAATGTCTCTGTTGCTACTGGTAAAAATAATTTAATTGCTCAAACTGATTGCAATTCCTGTTTCTTTAAAGATAAAAATTTTCAGGATGAGTTTCTATTAATGATGCCTTTTTGTTTTTTTGCAGGGATTCTCTTGCATTCTATATGCAGCCAAAAAATAAAGTAACAGAATGTGATTTTTACCATGAATTGCGTAGATCTTTACAAATCCAACCCTTTTGAGCAGGGAAAACAGTTCAGCGTTGTGTGGTTTCACTGACAATAAGTAGAGGTGGACACCCTTTTGCACTTTCCAGAGTCTTTGTACAGCTGTGAGCTCCTGAGAAGCTAAGGAGAAAGTAAACACTGAACCTTCTGCTGTGAAATGTTCAACTTAAACTTTAGAAGATTCCAGATACCATTCCAGGTTATGTCCAATGTCCTGCACTCCAGGTTGTCTCTGCACAATATTCCACCTGAGCATTGGATGCACTTGCTTCATCAAGCTGTGTTTACAGACTGCAAAAGCTCCAGGAACCTGATGAATACATAAACTCCCAAGAGACAAGATTAAAGGAAAATGTGACAGAGAGAGAGCTAGATTTCAAAAGCGGAGCCAAATCTCTCTGTGTTTACTGATGCAAAACAGTCATTAAAGTAAATGAACCTTGGATTTTTTTACACTAACACCCCTTTACAGAACTCATTGCAGCAAAGATCTCACTAGGAATAAGGACTGCAGAGTCGGGCCTATTCTGTATTTTTTTCATAGTGTGATGGTGTTTCCCATTCCACATCACTGTTTGGACATCTGAAAAAGTTGCATTGAATCTGACTGTAAAATAGGTCCGTAAACTCAATCGTGTGACAGATGTGACCTATAATGAAACTCAGTTGAGGGGGAAAAAAAGTAACCCATTGAAATAAAACTGTCTAAAGATTTGTCATAGATTTGTGTTAAATTGTTCCTTTTTTTCTCTCTCATATGATTAGTGAACCAGGACACAGTGTATTTGTGTGAGCTGTGGGTGAGGAACAAGGATCATAGAATCATAGAATATCAGGGTTGGAAGGGACCTCAGGAGGTCATCTAGTCCAACCCCCTGCTCAAAGCAGGACCAATCCCCAACTAAATCATCCCAGCCAGGGCTTTGTCAAGCCTCACATTAGTGGATTCACTAGCATGTTCTCTCATTCACATTGTGAATGTTCCTCTTCCATTATGGTTCTTGTCCTGTAGAAGGCTGAACACCTGAGCACCTTCAACTCCCATTGAAGTCAATGGGAATTCATGACATTCAACATCTTGCCTTGCATTTGGGGGGGTGTGTGACGGAGGTTTCATTTGCAAATATTTCTGGCTGGAAAACCACACTTGTTAAATTATTGAAAACAAAATGAATGTTATCGTTTAGCACCTTGACTATTTTATTTAGTTACTGTGGCCCTTTGCATAGGATCACTCATTAACACTTGATTTACAGTGCCCTTTAGGGATAATTTCAAACAATTTAGCTTACTCCATCCCCCCCTTTCAAATGAGCAGCTAAATCACTCAGAGAGACTAATTAGACTTTCCTTTGAGCTAAATGAAGTCTGTAAACTCTGGTCTGTGAATCTGAAAGTTTTTCAGATGTTTCAGGCGGGTGGTTGATTTCATAGTCTTTGGAAAAGCTGTGGTGTCTGCCAGCCCAGTCGCCATTCCGTTGCCTGGATTTGCCTTGGCTTATTTAGTAGGAAGGAAGGTGATGTCCTAGCTCATTTTCATGTACGTGAATTCCTTTCTGGGATGCTGTAGGTTCTAGATGCAGTGGGTGTGAATCTGTGTTACATTTGTATTTTGCTAGCACTTAAAGGACACAATCAGATTTGGGCCTCATGGTGTTAGACGCTGCACAAGCACATAATAAATGAAACCCTCCCCGCCAAAAAGAACTTTCAGTCTAAACAATGCTATCGTCCCAATTTGTTGTTGTTAGGGGATTTTGGTTTTTTTTTTTAGCGTAGTACTTTGTTTGATTCCTTTGTTTTTGCAATCTCTCTTCATCGCAGCCCCTCTTTGGAGCAGTTATGGGGTTGGTTCCTGCATTCCTGTGCAGACCCAAAAAATGCCACTGAAATTGATGGGAATTTCAGGTGTGCAAGGAATACAGGCTGCCCCGAGGCGAGATGCTCAACTGATGTAAGTCAGTGTAGTGCCATTGAAATCGGTGGAGCTATCTGATTTACATCAACTGAGGTTCTGGCCCATAGTCTTTGTCAATATGCTATGGGAGATTCCATTCTTTACTTCACTCTCAACCATTTCTCCGTCTTGTTCTTGCCATGGGCCTAGGTTTCTGCGGAGAAGTGTTGCTGTGAAATATTTCCTTTAGGGTGGATGCTTGGGATCTGAAATGAACAGAGTCATAATAATCTTGCTGCTCACTAAGGTGCCATTCCTTCAGGATTTCTTTTTGCATTATCTGAGGTGCATGCCTCTGGCTTGCTATTTTTACCAATATTTCCATTCAGTTATACTTGGCACTGTACAGTCTCCTTAAAACCTTGATGAAGCGAATGGTTTCTCAAAAAGGGAATGGACCTTGAAGCCTTGCACAGGCAAAGTTCATTGGCATTTGCCTTGTTTCGAAAACTAACCTGCCAAATATTTTCAAGAACTGAATTGTCTTGTGGCTGCTTTGCACACATTATTTTTCCTTTGATGCTGGCACCTAAATAGCAGCTCATAGCAAGATCCCACCGACTGGCATTTGTTACAAATTGTTGCTCTTGGCATTTCTTAAAGCATGGTTTCAAATTGTTTTTCCAAAGACAGAATCTGTGTACCTTTTTACATTAATAAAATAGAGGATTTGTTTATATGGGAAAAATGTACTGGTATCACCTGAGGTGTGAATTTAAACCAGTAGACTTAAACTGAGTCAAGCCTGTGTGCAAACACACTGATTTTGGTATGGGAGTGGTTTTTTTCAGTTTAGCTTAAATTGATAGAGAAAAGATTTAAGTTTAAACCAAAGTAAGCCCCCCTTAAACTAAAATAAGAGCATCCACATGGATTTACACTGGTTTAACTATTTTGGTTTAAAAACTGATTACATTAAACCTTTGCAACTTTTCCATGTAGACATGGACAGAGAAAAAAGTTGGGATAGAGGTTAAGGCATTGGTCTGGGACTTGAGAGATAACGCTAACATTCGTTCTGCCACAGATTTTCTGTGTGACCTTGGGCAAGTCACTTAATCTTTCTGTGCCTCAGTTTCCCTTCTGTAAAATGGGGATAGTAACACTTCCATTCTCCCACCTGTTTGTTTACATTGTAAGCTCTTCAGGACCAGACTGTCTTTCCATCTATTTGTATAGTGCCTAGCAAACATTTCATATTAAGGCCTTTTGGGGTAATTGTAATACAAATGAATAATAGATTGTGATCATCTGTGTTTTGTGTTGAATTCTTGACATTTTACCTTTATTTGGCCTGATTTTTAAAGGTGCTGAGCACTCATGTTTCCTATTGCAAACCAGGGAAGATGTGGGTGCTCAGCATCCCTGCAACAGACTCGTTATACTTAATTATATTTTCCCCTCCAACTCTTAATTGAGAAAATAAAACACTCGCCAAGCAAACAATTATTATTTTGTGGAACACAGCTCTTTGGAACTCAGATTCTTTGTAGTCATCAAATTTAAAGGTGAGAGCTGTCTATTAGGTGACATTGAAACAACTGGTTGCTGGAGAGTAGTAATGCTTTTCTGGTAGATATATAGCATTTTAGTTTCCTGTGCAGAATGAGTCAGTTTTAATATAGTAATAAAAAAGGCTAGGGATAAAGAAAGGTTCATATGAATCTTTTCCCTGTATTTCAGGTTGTTATTAAGGAGAACCCTTGTTCTGTCCATTAGGTGGTGCCCACTATGCATTTTTGCATTAGGGGAGGAAAGAAAGATTCTAGAGACTTAGAAGCAAACAAAATCCATCCTTGTTAACATCAGGAGAGGAGAATAAAGCCATTTCTTTATTCTTGTCATATAGGTAGGTATATATTTTTTTTCTATGTACTAACTGATTTTTTTATGTAATTAGTTGGCAAGGGGAGGCACATCCTTAGGTTTGATTTGCTCCTGTATGTATGCTGAGAAATTTCTTGTAATTTCAAGTGTAAGAATAGTAAAGCAAAGTTACACATTAACAAAGAGGCAGTTGTAAATAACGTGAACATGTTTGACAATTATTTTGACCATTTCCTGAAGGTTCCAAAAGTACTTTGCAGACACTAGACCTGTAGGAATTCTGATACACAATTAGAGATGAGTGGAGACTGATGGGAACTTTTGGAACATTATGTTGTTTTATTATCCTCCTGTTATCGTTTATTGCCACCCAGCTCCTGTCTGTTGTGAAGTCCTGATCCTGACTTCCTGATATCACAACATGCTGCTGTGTAAACTGTGGCTTCCCTCTATCATAGAAGGAATAAATGCACTTGGAAGTGAGAGGATATGGAGGTCAGAATGTGAGAATTTAGAGCCAAACCTTGCTGCTCTTACCCTTAGAAGTCAGCCATGCCTACTCACATGTGGAAGAAGCCTAACAGAAGTTGGCTTTAAGTTTGTGAAGAGCTTAGAGGTGGAGAAAGACCTATTAGGTCTCCCTGGCCAGTGCATAATTGTTCCCTATCGTATGTACAGATGCAAGTGCTTTGTTCAATCTTGTTTTTAAATGTGCCAAGCAGTGAGGTTTCCACCACTTCTCTTGGTAGATTATTCCATAGATTTTATAGATCTCACTATTAGCTTGCACATGCATATCAAAAATAAGAAACTGTAGTTGTTTGTCTTGTAGTTTAATTGCATTTACCAAAAGGGATGACAGACTCCTTGCCTTCTTCTCTGTTTTTTTCTCATTCTTGTGGTCTTTTATGCTCTTTTTGGTAATCTGATTTGGCAACAGAGGATCAGAGGACAAGGGCTGGCCGTGGCATATAGTGTACATTTCATGGTAGCAACATTGTTTTTTAATTTTTTTAATGAGTCTGTGTATTTAACACACTGCTGGATCTCTGTGGAAATGCATCTGGTGTGCTAGTGACTACATTAGGTCTAATGCAGACATAGGGTAGGGGTATGAATTGACACACATGTACATGATTCAAAACGCCAGCTCCACAAATGCACTGAGTACTTAGAATTGCATATCTGTTCCTGAGTAGCAGCCGTGTCAGTCTGTATTCGCGAAAAGAAAAGGAGTACTTGTGGCACCTTAGAGACTAACCAATTTATTTGAGCGTGAGCTTTCATGAGCTACAGCTCACTTCATCGGATGCATACACGAAAGCTTATGCTCAAATAAATTGGTTAGTCTCTAAGGTGCCACTAGTACTCCTTTTCTTTTTGCAGATATCTGTTCCTGTATTTATATGTGCTGTATTAAAGGTATTGTAAGCGTATTAACATTCAGTCGGGACTGCGTTCTCTGTTCTCTAGGGTTCTTCCTATCCAAATCTCCAAGGAGGGAGGGTCACTTGATGCTCTCACTCTTGTTTCATTGTGCTGATATGCATGTCCTTTCACTGCAGCAATTGACCAGGTGGCTGGGATAGTCACGATCATTTGCCATCAGAATTTCTCTCCATATTTTGACCCCTATTTTGCAGGATGCTGAAAGCTTCCTAAGAAGCACTGAGCACCCTTGAATCCCATTGAGATCAACAGGAGCCAAGGATCTTTGGCCCCCTGGCAGGATCATGCCCTTTGAGACAGAGCTCTGTGCTATCTCATTTGCCCCCTGATTTAATAAATGCGATTCATTAATTGGATCATTGCCTTCTTCTCCAGTTAATTTCCTGGGTATTTTTAAATGTTAAAATGTAGTTTTTATAGTCTTTCATTATTTTTAGCCTTGAGCTTGAATATAATTGTCCCTGTAATGTAACTGTAAAAAAACCTCC